GTTTATATTTTATGTTTCTTTGCTTGGTTCTGGGTTCTGCTTCTGTGCTTCATGAACTGCGCCTCTGTTTCAATTTTTTTTTTCTGTATTGAAGCAAGTTTATATTTTATGTTTCTTTGCTTGGTTCTGCTTCTGTGCTTCATGAACTGCTTCTGTGCTTCATGAACTGCACCTCTGTTTCAATTTTTTTTTTCTGTATTGAAGCAAGTTTATATTTTATGTTTCTTTGCTTGGTTCTGCTTCTGTGCTTCATGAACTGTGCCTCTGTTTCGATTTTTTTTTTTTGTATTGAAGCAAGTTTATATTTTATGTTTCTTTGCTTGGTTCTGCTTCTGTGCTTCATGAACTGTGCCTCTGTTTTGATTTTTTTTTTTTCTGTATTGAAGCAAGTTTATATTTTATGTTTCTTTGCTTGGTTCTGCTTCTGTGCTTCATGAAGTGCACCTCTGTTTCAATTTTTTTTTTTTTGTATTGAAGCAAGTTTATATTTTATGTTTCTTTGCTTGGTTCTGCTTCTGTGCTTCATGAAGTGCGCCTCTGTTTCATTTTTTTTTTTCTGTATTGAAGCAAGTTTATATTTTATATTTCTTTGCTTGGTTCTGCTTCTGTGCTTCATGAACTGCGCCTCTGTTTCTTTTTTAACAGTGACATGGAAAGTGGATTAACAACCAATTCATCAAGATCAAAAACAAGCAGATCAGATGATGAGATTGGATGGAAATATAATAAGTTGCAAGATCCTAATAACTCAAGTCGGGTGGTCTGTAACTTTTGTAATAAAATACTGTTTTTTATGATTTTTGGTAATTTTTATAAACTCTTAGGTTAATTTATGTTTTTTATTACTAAATTTGTCTCTTATTTTAATTGTTAGATTTATATTTTAATTTTTTTATTAAATACCCGCTATTTGTCAATAGCGGCCGCTACGCTACCCGCTACGCTATCATAGCGGATTTTGGCCTTTCCGCTATATGCCGCTATCCGCTATTGATAACACTAATAGGAAGAACCATTAAATGTATCTCAAAACACTCATGTTACCTTATATTTATTTCACCATATTCCGATTGTATTATAAACAAACTTGAAGCATATGCATTACTTTCTATTTCCTTCTTGTTTTATTATAATGAATTTTCTTTTGGATTCTTTTCTTAATTAATGCAGTAAAGTTGTCAGAATTACCAGCAGAAATTTGGAAAATAACAGCTATTGTTTACCCTACCAAGACGGGCAGGGCGGAACCCGACATTGATTAGTCCAGCAAGAAGCACAATGACATCTCCCATTAAGGTTAACAGACATTAAAAAATTTCATCATGTTCCCTTCAGTCTTCACTCACACCACAAAGCTAGGGGGGATAATTTTCCTTACAGTCCTTCCTCACATATCGCCAACATAGGCCTCTCATCATGTGGAACCCAAGTCTCATAAGTGAGGATGTTGGAGTAGGGGTTAATGTTCGCAGATTAAGGCGGTTCTTTCTAAGGTATAAATCTCATTCCTTTTTAATTAGGTGA